TTAGTGGAAATGTTATTTTAAAAAGCTTTTACGACTCAGAAGATAACAAAAGTAACTCTGAATAAACATGCATATTTTATATAACGTGCTCGTACGTTATTTACGACGATATTTTAGATGTAAAAACGACGTTTTTACATCTAAAATATCGACGAGGCGGCTGCTCGAGCTCATAGAAACTGTAATGAGAGGGCTTACGTCATTTATATACGTTTTCGTTATTTTATCGCAGGTTTTGTTGTAATCAAAACAAGCGTTATAGATTTCCTCTATCTAAGGATATGATAATCAACGCCTTCCTAAAATGATAATATTCAGAATTATCGTGTACCAGATTACGTGATATGTTAAATATATAAAAATATAACTATATATAATTTGTTTTATTAAGAACTATCATTGTTTACGAAAACTGTTATTTCTAGTACATCATCTTGTTTTCAATAACTGTCTAATTCAAACTGATGTTTTAGGCTCGTTAAGTGTTCGTTTATATACTATTTTTAAATATGCGAGCATAATTTTCGCGACACAAAATTATCCGATCGTATAAAATGCAATATTGATTTTGTATTTTATGTGTTCAGGCATTTTTGACACATCAACTTTTGTGCATTAAAATCTATTTAGATCTTCCATGTCCTCTTGCTCTTTGAAAGCAATCAGGTGGGTTATTTTATGATTTTGCCACGCTTAAAAAAAGATTAAAAGATTAAAGAAAAAAGATTGAAAGATTAAGCAGCCCCAAGATCTGTTGCAACGTGTATATACTAAACTATTATAAGTATTGTTACCTCCTCTGGAGAGGGAGATAACCGGAGCCTGCCCGTTAAACAAAACCGTCGCTAAAGACGATCCATGCGGGTCTTGCAATAAATCTTATAATAAAATACTAATTATTTATACTGAATGTATAACCTATATATCTAATTATTTAACCTAATTTACCGGAATAGGGCGTACAATATTTTTGGTTTGTTAATGTTCTTTTTCATTAGTTTTATATTTTACTTATGTATTTGTGTTCGTTTGCCTTATTGAATTATTTATAAGTATTCTTTAATTTATTTCTTTTTTTTGTTAATTTTAGTTTTTTTTCTCTCTTTTATTGTATGCGTCCTTTTTTTGGTATAAAATATATTTTCTTTCTTTCTTTCTTTCCATTATTATTATATAAAACTAAATTTATGGATTGAGGGTGATTAAACATTGCAGACGGCACGATGCTTCTGTGACAATACACACGGAAAACTCTTTTCTTTAGCCACAGAACATGTCGATTTAACAATAGCCGAGTGAAGCCAGCCAGTCTCAGCTAAGCGAGTGCCTGCTCTATTAGCGTTGTTAACAAACATTTTTCATGCTGCTGAATAAAACGGTAGCTTGTACCGTATAAAAGTATATTCTTCTACATGAATTAGGCAATATATAGAAGCACCACCTTTTGTATGTGGTTCCGTCTATCAGGCCTAGAAAAGATCTATAATAACTCGAGAACAAAGCATATAGATCATGCGTAGTACCGTTAGTTACCGTAGTGCGTTAAGTTAGTGACGGCATTATTTACCACCCCACCAAATCCTTGCAAAAATTAATACTTTCCAAAGATGACATGTGAAGCTATCAAAATAGAAAATTTTAAATTTTATAGGAAAGATGATTGGGTGATACCAGCTAGCTGCCTTTTAAGTTTGGATCTTATAATCATTAAATCCAATAAATTCAATAATACCAATACTAGAAGAAGCAATAAGAAATTGTAGAAAAAATGGAAACATTTTAAAAACTTGAAGAAAGCCCGTAGCTTATCTAGGGCGCAAGGAATTAAGCTAATTTATTTAAAAATACAGGATATTGACCAAATGACTTTCAATTTTTGTTTAGTGTAGAATTTCGATAACTTAACAATTACAAAAAGCTCACATAAACAACCTTACCAAAAGAAGTTTGTGCAGATCTTTCAAAACTCCAACTGTCCTCAAGTTATATTCTTAGCCTTATATTAGGCGTTTACTTAAAAAAAACTCCAGTGCGTTATTGAATAAGCTAATTAAAATGTCTTTTAGAATAATTTTACTCAGAGAGGAGAGTGCTGAAAAGTTTTAAAAATACCCCCGGGGTAATATCTCACTGTCCGCAGTGCTCTGAAGTGCCCTCACGGCTTCGTAAATGTTCTAAAATGTGCCTTAATTAGAAAATAAATAATTATAATCAATTAGGTAGCGCTGTGAGTGAAGATGAAGTGGTAGTTATTTTAAAAGCAGATTTCATTAAGTTTATATATAAAAAGGTGAGTATTTTTTTAATTATTAAATTTATATTTAGGCTTAGGAACTAGAGCGCCCCCTGGTGAATTAGATTTGAGCAAGCTGGCGAACCCCGTGGCTGCAGATCCACATAATCTGAAGTGTTATGATGGCGTCTTAAAATCGACCTTCATATATTTCTTTTTTATGTGAAAAAGTGGCAAACGAGCTGGCGGTTCACCTGATGTTAAGTGATAACAGCCACCCATGGACATTTGAAACACCTGTAGGGTTGCATATGCGTTGCCACCCTTTTAATAAAGTGGGACCCGGCTACCTCACTCACCAGACGAAACGACCTTAATAACTCTGCCTACCCAATGTGGTAGGGCCGGGCTGGGCCGGGCAGGTCCTTCCGGGTAATTACCACGACCTCACAGAAGACTGGCGTGAAGTGGAAGTGTTACTTCTGCGTTTCGTCTGGATAGTAAGGCACCCGGGGGCCACATTATCAAAAGGTTGCATCTGCAATCCTACGGGTGTAGCAAATGTCCTACGGTGGTAGGGCTACGCAGCAGCCTCGTAGCAGCCTCCTTGCACGAATTGGCAGGCCCGTCCGGGTAAGTACCACGACCTCACAGAAGACCAGCGTAAAGTCAGGTGAGTGATGTAGCCGGAGCCCCATTTTCAAAAAGTTGTCAATGCATCTGTAACCCTCGGGTGTAGCAGATGTCACTCACCATCAGGTGAACCGTCGGCTCGTTTGGCAACTTTTCACATAAAAAAAAACCGACCGCGATACATTTTTGTTTCTGTCTTCAAAAAACATGAAAAGACGAATCTGAATACTTTTCACCGTAATTATGATTTCTCTCCCAAAGCGCGTCGCTCCGTGATAAATGTTTCTCGGTTTTTTCGAGGCGAAACTCCCCGGACGACTTTGTCATACTTAAAAATGAAAGAAATGTAAGAAAATAAAAGAAAAGTAAACGGAAACAATAAATAAGGGCCCACGTTACATTGCCAAGGTACTAACGTTAATTTGTGTCTGTGATATTTTCTCTTGCCTAAAAGGAAAACGTCAAATAAACATTAAGAATTGCTTCAGCAAAACAAGCAATGGAACAGGTACTGAAAGTTATTGCGTTATTTTTTTTAATTAGCTTATATGCATTCGCCACTACGAAACGGTGATTTGTATTGAAGTGGGTTCAGCTTATAGTTTTGCTGTTGATCGTTAATTTATCAATTTTATTATTAAACCCATTAGAAAATAGTATTGCTTTCGTGGAGGTTATGCTGCCTCAGCTTTGCATCTAACAGATTTGGAAAATAATATGTAACATAGTTACATGAATTTAGAAAACCTAAAAGGATGTTGTACTTAAAAAATGGAAAACTGATATCAGCGATATCATCATATCTAATAAACAGGTATATATGTATAGTTTCTTAGCGAGCAGGCATCGAACGGAATACAAATTTACTGAGAAATTTACGAATGCTCTGCGCGACTGAAACGTCGATCCTTAATAGCCAATCCGATGAATTGGATATTGCGCTCACGTAGTACCATAACGTACAAGGAGAGGTTATAAAGAAAACGTATCGGGATCCGGCCAAAGCCCCGTGATACCTCAGTATTGGATACCGGCCGATAAATAGCCCCGTCCCCGAGATAACGGGGATGTGGATGTTGGAAATAATTTTAGAACTTTACTACGGAATGTGATCGAGAACAGCTACACGAAATATCCATTACATGGACCGTGTACTGTAATTTGGGAAGGGATTTTACTTTGAGTAGGGCCTATTTCCAATGAAATGACAGTTGCAATTGTTATGGTTAAGGTAAGATAGCTTATGTAAAGATTTTTTATTATGTTATTGTACAATTGTAAGTTGTCGGAATGGTTTCTTATACTCACTACTCACGCTATGGTCGATAATTGATGTTGATCTTAACAAAATACGCAATTTATCAATCCCTGGGTCATATATAAAAGTAGAAAATGATGCGGGCCAACATTTGGTATGTCTTTATTACTGCATTCGTATAATGCAGGATGGCAACCAAAGACCACACTATGCCTAGCCATCAAATTGGCTGCCAACGACAATAGCATTAGTTACTCGTACCTTAATATTGACCTACCATTTTTGTTCACAATTATTCTGAGTCTAGTGTATCCTGGAATATCATTAAAATAATGAGAAATAAATGAACTTGTAGAGGAAATTATGCTAGTTAAAGACTTGTAACACTTGTTAACTTAAAGCTGTACGGCTGAAGTAGTTGGGGCCGGGCCAAAATTTTGCTTGGCACAGATGACGCCCGCTTGACCCGATTTAACGGATGTGTCTTGGCAGTGCCAACTGAACAAAATTCTAAGGTAGCATTGACTTTTCTTGCATAGTAAAGTGCTGACATAAGCCAGGAGTACCGAAGATCGAGGATCAGGAGCATATCAAGCATAGCGATGTTTTGATTTACCAAGTGTATGACCTACAAACACTACAATTCTGGATCACCGAGATGTGGTTAATTTATCAGCCTAAATATATCCCACTGCTGCGTGAAGACACTATTTCTTGAATTTGATATTACTAGTAATATACTAAGTAAAGTGTTATAAAGAAGAGCGAGTTTTGTGGCAATCATTCCGGGGTGCTGTCAGATTGCATAGGATTAGGGCATCTAAATTTAATTCCTACGGCACTAAGGCCACATCCGGTGGCGAGGGTTGAGGGCGCATGCGTGTCGCGATCGACCGCCGCCCTCCCCCCAGCCCCGCACACCCGCTGGCACCACGCCACCCGCGGGGCCGAGTGGTGCTTTACTTGGGACCGCTGGTGGTGCGATATTATCGTAACATTGCTGTTCTTAAAACATATCGTATTTGATAATTTTCTAATGTTTTAACTTCATATTCCGTGTTTTTTTTTTCGAAAATAGAAAGCCTTAAAAGCCTTTATTCTTAACTTAAATACTACATTTCGCTTTCAATTGACGGTACCAGACATCCGATGATGGCGAGAAGCAATTTTAAATCTGAAACTTCAATAACAATAACAATAAAAACTGAACCAATTTAACATTAGGTTCCTTTATATCCCGAGACAAACACTTTTGCCATTATCCATGTTAGAACGTAGAATACAAAATAAATAATGGAGACATATCTTATTTGACCAATAAAACCAAATTATTTTGTCAACATGAAGACGGGTATAAAATAATGAAACAAGTGTGAGTCGAACTCGGTTCGGTACCATTATTTTTAAAAACGGCAAAAAAAACTATGTCGTTGTATAAGAGTCCCACTTAAATATTTTTTTATGTTTTCTAATAAAAATTTGTTATTATAGCGGCACCAGATATACATCATCAGTGAAAATTTCAACCTATCATGATTCTTGAGATATAGCCTGGTGACAGACGGACCGATAGACGGACAGAGACAAACAAGCAGACAGATTGACAGACAGACACACAGCGGAGTCTTAGTAATGGCTAAAAAAACGCAGATAGCATTACTACCAATTATCATTGAGCGCCTATATAGACCTAATCTACCCATATAAAGTATCTTTTTTAAATTTAACGAAAAGGTAATATATTAAAAAATCACTTAAGAATGTATGAATTTACGCTAAGTTAAAAATCATTGATAAATCAAAATATAATTGGCAGAATATGTATGCATATTCAAGGACGGTCTAATGGGCTACGGAAGTAGTCTCAGACGTGCGATGTTAAAGTCGCGGGTTCGGATCCCCGTGGACACCAAGAAGTTCTCCACTATTGGGATTACTCCTGTGCGAAGATCACTACCAGACTTTTGCGATCTCCATTTGGAGACTAAATGGGCTATCTCTGTCCACCCAATAACGAACCAAAATATGTAAGGTTATTTATGTAGCTATGTTTATCATTTTGATCTATAAATATCGATTACTTACTAGGGAAATGTTTTTTTAGTTATAGCCTGTGTTATTCAGAGATATGGTAGTGTTGTATTAGGGCCATTTACCTAGTCTATTTATATAAAAATGAATCCCTATTTCCCTTGGTCACGCCATCACGCGTGGACGGCTGGACCGATTTCTTTTTTTTTTGTTGTGTTTGTTATTATCAGGAGAAGGTGAAAGATGAAAGAAAAAATTTAAAACATTTTCTGAAAAATTCTAAAAACAACACTACTCTATATTCCCGTACAAAAGATTCGTAATAATACTTAAAAGTCAATTTGAACGTTAATACCATACCATAAAGTTTAAGCGTTAGTGGAGGGGTTCCGGGAAGGCAAAACCAGTGAGTGACTGTGGTAAAATGTCACTTGAAATGTAAACGTCTCTTCGCTGTGCATCACTACATAGTATAAAACAAAGTCGTCCCGCTGTCTGTCTGTCCCTATGTATGCTTTAAAACTACACAACGGAATTTGAAGTTTATATGTATAATACATTGCACACGTGCGAAGCCGGTGCGGGTCGCTAGTATTTAATAAAATTACCCACCAAGCAAACTGAAGTACCGCTATTTCACAGAAGATCGGTGTGAAGTGGAAATATAATATTTTCGCGTTTCATCTGAGTGGGGTAGCCGGTCCCACTTTTTATAAAGTTGTCAACGCATTAACAAACCCTTGGGTATAGCAGATGTCTATGGGTGGTGGTATTCACCTAACATCAGAACCACCGTTAACATGTTGGCGAACTCTGCAATGTTTTACATAAAAAAACTCCCTCATTATAATGTACCTCATATAGTGCAGATTACTGTTTCTGTTACCCGTTTTGTCAAGAATATTATTATTTCTAAGACTATTAAACGATTTTGATATAGCATGTCTACGTAAGACTACCAGTTATTTTGTTTCTGTTTGCCTCTTAAAGCAAAAATCATTCCTAAGCTCGCGAAAGCAGTTTCTTTCATTAAAATTCATCCGACGCCACTCGGATAAGTTTAGTCAAACTCAAAACTTTGTTGACGCGCCTCCCCTCCGGCCCATTTCACCTGATGCCTATTTGCAATTCTAATTTATAAATGTCGCTATTGATTTCAGATTCTAGAAAGAGAACTCTAACCAGTGATTTTCTTTTCGCAGGTGTCGTAAGCTACGGTTCCGTTGTAAAAAGATAAGACACAAGATATTTTTCTATTCAAATTTACAACTACATAAAAGCTTGTATTTCTGAGAAGTTTTCCTTTGCGATCATAAACAATTAAAGCGTGAACGCGTTACAGATATACATACGAGTTTTTTTTTTTCTACTTAATTTAATTCTAACGGAAAAGTAAAAATAGTTTAAAATACTAAGTTCTTACAGTACACTCCAACAGGGCCGTTGTCGGGTCATAAGTACTGGGCGAATGTTAGAGTAATATTATTAAATTTCTGGCGTTTTCCGATACAGAAACAAACGCAACAGCCTCTGCTGTTGTAAGTGTTGGTAGGCTCATCTGAGTAGTACACGGCCTAACAGAAGACCGGCGTAAAGTGGACGTTTTGTACTTTTGGTTTTCGTCTGGCCACTGAGGTAACTGGAGCTCACATTTTAATTGTTTTCAATTCATCTGCGTCGTCAGATGTTTTAGATGTCCATGGGCAACGGTTTTCACTTAACGTCAGGTGAACTGCCCGATCACTTGCCAAGTTTTCACATGAAAAAAATCCTAACTAAATGATTCTTAACGCAATCATTTATTGTTCTTGAAAATCTGTAAAAGGCCTAAAGTTCAACACCAAAAAAAACACGTCCTTCAGTTTAATAAGGATAAAACACTATATCTATTTATCTAACATATAATAAGTCAAAATTACAATATGATAATAGCCTATTTTGATTATAAATTACGGCGGCACCAGACCACTTTTGAGACATTTCAGCTCACTTCTCTTTCGTCTGATTATTAACAGAATCCTAATATTTGAGTTTATGTGTACATAATTATTTTTGGGTCGGTGGTTAGTTAACACAAGTCGATGAAAAAAATCTAACTTGGCTGGCAGTGATTCCATTAACTGAACACGTAAATGGGGTTACCGAGTGGACATGCATATAGTAATGTCACGACACGCGTGGTACAAATGGGCGGAAATAAATTCGAGATACAGAAAATTCTTTGGTGTTAAGCACCCTATTAAACTTGAGACTTTGTTTCATTGTGAACTTCGGAATAAAAAGTAAAAATATAAACATAAAAATACTCTCTTGTTCAATTAACTTTTTTGTGAACAGACAGCAAGTCAAGCCTTTGGGTAGTTTTGAATTTTTAGAGACAAACATACGTTTATTTATAACTAGCTTTTATTATACATATAAACCTTCCTCTTGAATCACTCTATCTATTAAAAAAACCGCATCAAGATCCGTTGTGTAGTTTTAAAGATCTAAGCATACATATGGACAGTCATACAGCGGGATGACATTGATTTTTTTATACTATTTAGTGAAGATATATAATATGATCCAATACGATTCAATTTCAATCGTATACGTTGTATGCGTATGTTATTGTATTGTTGTATTAGGTTGCTTATTATGTTGTGTATTTATTGATCTTTTTTAAATAGAGCAAATAGTAAAACATCTCAACTACAGACTATGTAATACAAACAGTTGATTCTGTTAAAGTTTCATCGTCTTGAAAGTTAATTTGCATTACTACAATTCAATTAATTTGGCTTAGCCATCAAAGTTTCTCTTTGGTATAGGGGTAAAAAACCGGCCAAGTGCGAGTTGGACTAGTGCACTAAGGGTTCTCTGCCATTATCTTATAGATAAAACGGCAAAAAAATCATGTCTGTTGTATGGGAGCCGTACTAAAATATATTTTTATTCTGTTTTTTAGTGTTATAGCGACAACCGAAATACATCATCTGTGAAAATGTCTACTGTCTGACTATCACGGTTCATGAGATACAGCCTGGTGATAGACGGACAGACAGACAGACACCGGAATCTTAGTAATAGGTCCCGTTTTACCTATTGGATACCTTAAAAAGTATACATTTTAACCTCGAGGGCTGTAGAAACTGCAGATATAAATTATTTTCTGTTAAATTAGTTGGATCGATATAAGGCGTTTGTATTTAGACTGAATTTAAAACAAATAGTACAATAAATACAAGCATTTTAATGTTCGGATGTAAGATCATCATTAAAAGACTTTTTTTTATATGAAAAGTTGGCAAGCGAGCGAAATGTCGGCGATTCACCTGAAGTCAAGTGACTACCTCCGCAAATGGACGTCTACAACAAAAGAATAGTTGCAAATGCGTTGCCAACCTTAAAAAAGTGGGCCCTGGTTACCTCACTCACCAGAAGCAACGAGAAATTATAATACTTCCATTTCCGTGTGTGCGTTCACTTCCGTGTTCAATTCCCCGGACGAGTTCGTGTATTCATGAAACTACAGAAGCGGCTGCGTAGCACCACCTCATTCAAAATCTTATTGACGATTAAAAGAAATTGATACGTAGAATTTTTGCAGAATATTTCACAGTACGAGCCCCTCCCCCGTACGGGATCATATGTATAAGACATTAGAGAAATAAGGAAACCCTAATGTATTTAAGTATATTTTTGGTATTGAGGAAATTGCTTCTAGCGTTACGTAAGCAAGTAAAGTTTACGTATCTTTATAGGAACTGTAAGCTCATGTGGTACATTTAACAACCTAGGACGAGGAAGCTCATCGAACGTCGCAAGCCTCTGACGAGGGCCAATTGAACGAATCAGTGATGCATTAGCGGAATTGTGCGAACGGGGAACGGGTAGAGAGGCAGCCGTCCTGCTGCGGGGGAAGGCCTAACGAGTGCAGCGCTTGATCGCGCGATAGGTCCGCGGCCCGATATCGACCCCCGCGCCTCGGGGCCTATTTTTAGCGATCGAACGATCGCCTCCCATACCTACGTGAAACTTTCAGGCGTCGCCCATTGGCCGGGCGTGAGTGACGTCACTGGGCAGAGCCGGCGAATGGGGGCGGCTGGCAGCGCGCATGCCCCACGGAGGCTCCCCGGCTCGGCGGGCCTCCGACGCCAGTCTGGGCCCGCTGATCCCAGGTGTGCCAAGCTCCCGCCAGCCACGTCAAAGGTCAATATTTCACATTCCTATGTCGGCCATTTTATTTGTCGACTGATTGTATCACTCATTACGCCGTGCCCCCCGCTTCTTAATTCCATTGCTTCGTGACGTACCTACCTTGCGTAGGATTACATAATCGGTGCTCGCAGTTACATAACGGAGCGGTTGCATTATACATGTATATAATGTATGCGTGGTGTATAGATATATCGTGAGCGTGGGTGTGTTTGTAAGTATGGTATTGGAGAGATGGCAGTGATTGAATAAAGTTACGAGTTATGGAGCTTTATCGATTTTTACCTGAGCTTTTTTACTCAGAGTGTTAATGTTTTGAGACGTTTTTAGGATATTTTTAATAGAAATTATATTAGATTATTTTATATTATTCCAATATTAATTTACTACTAAAATACATGTATGTTATAATGATCTTTTTTTTATCTTGAATTTGACGCTTATGAATCATAGCTTAACATTAAGATGACTGTAATATAGTTCTCCCTCTCTCTCTATTTTTATATCCTAGCTATTTTAACTGCATTAATTTATTTTTACTCTGTTATTAGTAGCTTTAGCTCTTATACTATGTCATTTTTTGGTGTATAGGCACCTTAGGTGTAGAAACTTTATCATATATATATGTGGAAGTGTTATATTTCTGCGTTTCGTCTGGTGAGTGGGGTAGCCGGGGCCCACTTTTTTAGAAGGTAGCAACGCATCTGCAAGCCTACGGGTGTTGCGAATTTCAATGGTTGGTGGTTATTACTTAACATCAGGTGAACCACCAGCTCTTTTTCCACCTTCTCACATAAAAAAAATGTGCTGTGGTGATAACAGCGTGTTAAGTGTAAGTAGTCCTTAACATGGTGTTCAAAAATTTATGTGAAATCATTCTCTCAAACTCTTTACCATTATTTGTAAATCATTGGAAATAGTTGACAGTTCTACATTTTCATTTCCTTGCGATACTTGCAAGCCGGGTGGATATAATGGTATAGTTTTTTACATTCTTTAGAATATACCTCCAATTTTCAAAAGGTTGTCAACGCATCTGTAACCCTCGGGGGTAGCAGATGTCCATGGGCGGCGGTGTTCACTTAACATCAGGTGAACCGTCTGCTCGCTTGGCAACTTTTCACATAAAAAGAAAATGTGTCTCTTGTTCTCGTGTTACTGTAAAAGAGAGGTACATTCACCGTTATTTAAAACGAACGCCACTATAAAGACATTTAAATATAAACGGAATCAAAATGTAAAATCTTTGCAGTATAATAAAATATGCCGTCGGGACTATATAGTTTCCTATATATGCGGGCTTATTTTGCGAAGTCTATTTGGACTGTGTCCATATGAAGAAGTACTTTTGCGGTTCGTCTGACGAGTGAGGTAGCCGGGGCCCACTTTTAATGGTTGGCAGCACCTCAGCCATCCATAAGGTGTTGTAGATGTCCTTCGGCAGCGTTATTCGATTAAAATCAGATTAACCGGCTGCTCGCTTGTCAAATTTTCACATAAAAAACAATATGATGACGGGACCGCCGTCGGATCTCCGACAGAACTAGAAATTGTTACTTTTATATCAAAGTGTGGGGTGGTTTCTCGAAAATATTGCGAAAACGGTAAAATTTAATGTGATTTTTGTCCCAAAGATGGCAGTCTGTGTACTGTGACCGTAAATTAGTCTGGTAAAGTGTGCGTATATGCATTCATTTCCCTTTATACTTCAGTTCAAAGTCAAAGTTTTCGTCTTTGATTCGGTTCACGCTAGTTTCAACGATAAAAATAGAGCTTTCGTGTATTTTTATTAGTATAAATAACATGAAATAGAATTACCACTAGTATTTAAGTCAAAGCGACTTAAATACTGTTTTGCTATAAAATGATTACTCAATCAGAGTCAATACAAAATGTTTATTACAGTTAAAAAGCTTATTTGATTGACAATATTTACATTAAATAACAGCTAAAACATTTTTGCAGCTAACGATTTCGAAAGATGCTGTCGATATTGATATCGCTTCTCCCCGTCGGAAGCGTTGATGGTCATTTCACCATCAACGCTTCCCATTTTAGATTGTTTTACAACACACGTTCTCATTAAATAGTTATTACTTTATGCAGATTCCAGATTCTTTGCTCACTCATTCATTTACTTAATCAAAGTTACAAGATAGGAGCGCAAGACTTTATGTGCAATGTTCAATAATTATAGTGAATTATGGTAATATTCTCTGTTCTAATTGCAAAGGAAGCAAGTTCGATTATGACAAGATTATTACCCGTTTGGTATAAAATTGAAAACTTTAGCGTATAACATGAGTAAAATAATGTTATATGAGGCTTTTAATTCTGATATTTTCGGTAAACGCTATTTTTAACCCAGCTGTAACAGTACTTAATTATCCTCAATTTTTGAGAAAATTTATGCACATTATTATGTGTAGTAAAATCATTAGCTCACTTTACAATTTTAAATTTAGTCTCAAGTTAATTGTTTCAACACATTTGAATATCTCTTACGAAACATAGCCCATAAGTTAATTTGAGTATAAAGTCTTTAGCGCTTGCATTATTTTGTGTGTGATGTTTTGGATTATGAACACACAAATTGTTTGTGAATCACTGATTTGTACCGTTATTTTAAAATCGATTAAAAGCGTAGCTTTATCAATACCGTGTCCAAAGGTTAAAATTATGTGAAAATATATGATAAAGATTAATATTAAAATGAACTTTATAAAAATGTATTTTAATTCAGTCTCGTTTTTTAAAAGTTTTAAAAGTAGAATTCCCTTCTATTATCCAAAAAATGGTCGGATGTGTGCGAGAGGAAACCTCTACTAAGCCCTTCCGGCCGCCATCTTGCAACCGGAAATGTGCGCTCTACGACTTCCGACACTTTACCTACGAAAATGAATAATACCGAATTGTGTTAAGGAATTAAAACGAATATTTTTTCATTTATACTACATAGTACACACGCATAAGCATAATATAATTTCAATATAAAGATTATTTCTATTTCAGAAATAGGAAGAAACAAATAGAATTTAACTCTTGCTTTACTTTTTTTATTCAAAACCACTAATCTGTAAATCTCTGTTGCAGACGATAAGCGGCGCACCATGGTCCAGCTCTAAAGCCCAGAACCCAACAAACCGAAACATATCAAACAACGCACTGAACTAAATTAAGTCTAGACCTAGCTCACGTGATTTTAAAATAAGAACCGACTGCTTAGCTGTAGAGACCGGCTGGAAATAAAGAGAAAAAAGAGAGCAGAAGGAGCATTCGAATTTCGAAAGTCTGTTTGGCAAGTCGAGGGGCAGACGCCCCCGGGGGCTCGACGGTGGAGGACGAGGGGGGCGCGCTGCTCGGGCGGCTGCAGGGCGCGCTGCGAGGCGGCGCCGCAGCCGCTTCCCCGTCGCGCGTGGCCAGCTCCATCAGGGGATACATCACCAACAAGGTCGGCTCCCTGCAGCTGAGGGATACAGGTGAGTGGTAGCCACGTCGGACGATTCGTGCCACCCAAAAGGAACAACTATTGAACGTTCAATCGTTTTAACTGACGATTTTCAATTTAATCATACGTATGAAGGTTTTTTTTTTTATAAAGATTTGATTAAACAACTGTTTTACGTAAAACTTTAGTCGCTAAATCAATATAACAGTAGTATTTGTACGTCGTAGACGTAACTTCAATAAAACTATAATTGTAACGTTATACACATTCAATGCTCGGAAACAGACTGCCGCGCCCATACATAACATTTTGTATTTGTTTGTCTACCCACAATATAAGCTACAATAATGCTAGCTTAAAAATTGTCAATGATATTAACTCGTCATCACTTAATATCTTTCGTATAATGAAACGATTTATTAGTTTATTTCTTAAGATATTCTATTAATGCTAATCATAAAGTTTTTTTTAACAAAACTCAATAAATGAGCTGAATCGACTCTCGCAACATACGCCATAGATGTAGACACGCTATAATGATCCAAAGACAACGTGATTATGCCGAGAAAACAAGCCGCGGAACCGTTTTCGCCACGAGGGCTGACGACCAAACATCGACCTCGCCCTAAACAAACAAAATCTGGCTTGTAAATTGAACTTTATTCCGTTTGCATTACGAACCGTGTTTAACGCCGCGTAACTCTGGCTAACGAAGAGTAAATATTTGCGAAACAAAGCTGTTATTAAATAAAGGGAGATGGATAAAGTTATACGTTACAAATAAATGGAAGAAGGCCTTCGCTATATTTGGATGATGAACACAATGCTTTGCCTTGTCGTTTGCGTTGCTAGTTTGTTTATTTATCATTATTTTTTTTAAACATTGCCCTCACACATAACATTATCCTGTGTTGTATGGACGTTTTAGCAAAACAAATTGCACGAGGACAAACACCCAGATGTGAAACAACTATCTGTGGGTAGCACAAATAGTTGTTCCGTGTGGAAATCGAACCCACGACCACCGACGCCGAAGCCAACACCTTAGCAACTGCGCCATGGAATCATCAAATCTTCGTCGTTTTTGTAAGACAACATATTATCCTGTAACACTCAGATCAGCTCACACGAATATTTGCCCCGTGTGGGAACCGTACCCACCACCCATGGCGCTAAAGCCAACAGCGTCACGACTGCACCACTGACTAATCGAAATCTGCAAAAGTACTGTACACAGTTTACAAAACTAAATTTTAATCTTACTTTGCTCTAATATTGCATACTGTTGATCAAAATCAATTTGCATTATTTGAAATCAATCGTGCATGCACTGAAATTATCTATGGGTGACACAAATACTTGTCCCCTGGTGGGAATCGAACGCACGACCTCCGACGCCGAAGCCAATAGCTTAGCAATGCTGCCACCGAGTCCTCATATATTCATTAAAACACATTACATTTGATAAAAATATAACTCTAGATTATAATGTCTACAATAGATGAATAATAATTAATCTAGATTCTAGAATATTTACATCAATACTTGTACGATAAACTCTCCGCATTTATAAGCAGCAGTAATTTAGCTGAGACGCGCAAAGTTTGTCTAGTTAGCACGGCGGTAATCGGGTAACGCGACAATCCTCAGGAGCGGGGCTTTGGCAACGTCGCCCCTTTGCGGTGCGCAAACTAATTGCGCCAATTATGCCGCCGACGCTGGTCCCAACATGCCGAATAGAACCCCAAATAACTTCGACGATCGACGTTGATTATGGGTCCACAAAATTATTATATAACGGAAGAAAGCAACTGTTTCAAATAAGGTTTTTGTGGTGTGAGAAAATATACAAATTTTCTCCTTTCCCATTATCTTCGTATCTTGTTACAGTAAAATATTTGTCGATCCCTTTTATTATAAATTTGTACAATTTAAACATTTTGAATCAAGATTGAAAACACAGATAATATTAATCAGTAGACATTAACTTCTCGCCATTTCGAAATGAAGTGAGTTAAGTATTCGACGATCGGTATTCCAATAAAAAAAGATTTATTTAATTAATTACAAGGTGTTTACTGTATGACAATTTGGAATTGACTGATTTATAATTACAAAAAATTATGAACTAAAACTAATGTAATGTGTCAGCGTTCCGTCGGTGCGCCTTCGCCGTGCTGATTATGCCGTAATCGTGGTTATGACGTGCTAACTAGTGTTCTGCTGTAATTCGTTTCTTTTATAGACTTTAACAGTAAACAGAAGATATAAACGTGAACATTATTCGTGATAGACAATTTGAAATAACAAACTAAAGATGCGGTTTATCATTATTATGGACGGTAATTCCCCATTCACCAGCACGTTTGCTCGAGGTAATTGGTTTTGGGTTGAAATATGCCTCCTACCCCAACCCCGCGAATACACCTCTTCGCCGTGCCCTTTGTTCTCCTTGACTTCTTCCGTAACACGATATCAAACGATCGCTCATACTAATTGGCGGATATTAAAACGCCGAGATATTAATTGCGCTTAAACACTTTACAACTTTACTCATTGTTTTAATTATTAAGTATTGTTTTTATTGAGTGAAGACAGGAAATTTGTCTTTAAAATTCCTTATATATTTTATAATACCTTATTTGAATAACTACAAGTCTTAGCAGTTACGGAGATTTCGTATATTGTGTTAGAATAAAAAGTGCCTAACTGCAGATCAGACATGCAAGTTACTATAATTACAATAAAATAACTAAGTATGCAGTAGAGTTTTTGTTTTTTATAACGATATATCAGGAATGTTGCGAATAATTCACTTTCTTATAAAACTACACATAACGGACTTTTATCGCAATAAATTTGATCCACCATAAACATAGATATACTGTCCTTCCAAGACCGATTAAGTTACAACGGGATGAACTCTCAAAAATTTTTGTGACGAATATTACGTTGAATCTAGGTACATATGTACCATGAGTATAATATTCGTCAGACATCGCGTGCACGCTCCACGAGGGGTCCCAGGCCATGAATATTTGATGTGAGCGCCGCCCCGCGCCATCTCCGGGCATCGAACGTAGAACCGAGGCTCCCTAGTCAGGGCTCTGTATATCATTGTGTTTCGTGTTCATTTACAGAAGTAATAATGCACAGATGAGTATACATGCCGGCTTCCTCGTAATGTTTTCCTTCACCGATGAGATTCTTTTTTCATGTGAATGAATAGTTTTCAAACGAGCAGGCGGTTCACCCGATGAGCAAAGCCCGCGACCCATTGGCATTTGCACCTGGAAGGTTGCGTATGCGTTGCCATCTCATTATAAAGTGGGGTCCAGCTACCTCACTTCAAATTCAAATATCTTTACTCAATATACACTTACATATTGATTGTCAAAAACACTAAACTGTCAAAAAAACATTTAACAGACGAAACGCAGAAGTATAACACTTCACGCCGGTCTTGTATGAGGTCCTTACCTGGACGGACTTGCCCATTAGTACAACAGCGAAGACTGTTGCGTCGCCCTACCACAGTAAAGTTACCTCGGTCTATATTAATAAACTGTGTATTGGTAAATTAGATTGATGTATAAATAAATGGAGTTTTCAATTTGAATGTCTATACAAATACGAACAAAAGCCTTCGCACTAAAACGATCCATCGGCACTGAAATATTCAGTACATTTAAAGGAGGGCCCTTTGAAAAGAGGTTGCCCGTTACAAAAGCTACGGTTATTTATTATTTACGCAGGTAAATTGGGTAACGCGCACATTCAAGGCTGTAGCGGGGGGTTATTGATTTTTGAGCGCGCTTTCGTCGTGGGTTGTTTGCAATGCGCTCAGCCTCATATATTATTGACGATAATCTGTATTACTTTTAAACTATTTACAAAGAATGGTAATAGACGAGCTCTTTTGTATATTGTCGCTCAATCTCAATACGAGTGAGTATAAATAACTGATTTAGTTGTGAATGTTAAACCCACTAGTATGTAAAGGTATAAAAAGGCCAGGGTTAAAGCGATTGTCTTTATTAGGACGCCCATTATATGTGACTACAGTGTTATATCGCTAAAAACTATCATATTTAATATACTCACCGTTGAACTATACTGTGGTAGGCCACGTAACAGCTTCTGCTGTTGCACGAATGGACAGTCTCATCCGGGGAAGTATCACGGCCTCACAGAAGACCGGCGTAAAGTGGAATTTTAATACTTTCGCGTTTCGTTCGATGAGTATGGTAGCCGGAGCCCAATTTTCAAAAGGTTGTCAACCCATCTGCAACCCTCGGGTGTAGTAGATGTCCACGGGCGGCGGTATTCATTTAACATCAGGATAACCACCTCGCTTGACAACTTCTAACGAAGATACTTTTAATGGTTTAGCATTTAAGAATTGTCGCAATTGAGATATAGCAATAAAAAGAATTGTCACAATCGAGATATAGCAATAAAACAAGAGCGAAATATAGCTGACATAGACAAATAATATAGCTGAGACAAAGCACCCCGGTTAAAAAGTCAGTCATGACCAAATTTCGACCTATTGATACCACCCATGTTGAGTCAGGGGCTTGTTATGATATCAATTGCGACAAGTGCGATTGATTCGCCTCCCTCACCAAGTTGGACCCTCGGACCGCTTCGCATTCAAATGACGAGCGGCGCCGGTGACAACACAATAGAGTACAACGCTTAACAGCACTCGAGACCGCACTCGCTTCCGGCGCAGTCGGCACGCACCTTAACGGTCCTCCACGAATCGCCTAATGGGGAAGTCCAAAGTTTATTCGCGATAATTGGAATCGAATTGATTGCGGGGAGTCCCCGGAACCAATTGAAGGGTAGCGGAAAGTTCACGTTACTGTCGGATATCGGCGCCGTTCGTTGCAATAGTTTTGTTTTTAAATAAATTAGCATAACGTCGAAAGTGTTTACTTATATCTTTTTTGTGCTAACAAAAAATTTATACATACTCGGTTATTAAACTTTAATATGATTGAACATTGGAAGAAACTATTCATTCACCTACCGTTAATGTATTTTCACAAATAAAATCGAATCATTTTTGGGTTGTGTAAGTACGTCTGAGTACTGAACCACGTTCCGTACCAATACAGGCATATTAAGAATTCAGTGCGCAATTCGTCCTGGGAGCTCGTAATGAAGGGACTGAGCCCCCTGGCCCCGCGGCTATTTATCCTGCCCGTCTCTAACGGCTTCCGATGGGGTCGATGCCGCTCCTCGCGGCGCGTTTACAGTTTCCTGCTACGCGGCTTTTGTTGCCGAATTACTCTTTGTCGTCAGACATTAGCACCGCAAGATATACAATAGAGAACAAAAGAGGGATGTAGGACTAGTTAACAAAAGTAATGATTATGTTTGGCTGTGGAAGACGTGCCTGCCTGCCCTGACCTGCCTTCCAAGTTACCCTGACTTGGTAGTTTTATTCACGAGTACCCATTCATTTGCAGAGTCTTAAGACTTTATGAGTAACAAACATTCGTTTATTATCTCAAAACTCTGCAAAATCAAAGTAAGTTTAGAAGCCGCTCCTATCAAAGCAAGCGAGGGGAGAGTTGTAAACTTATGAAAACCTCATAAACAATAAAAAACAAACCAACCAGAGCTCACCTGACCCCGACGAGACAGTTAAACGTTTAATTATGAATGCAGAGTAACGAGGAGGCATCTCAGTGCGGAGACAATCGCGTCCCCTTCTCGGAGGGGCATTGTTGCCGCGTGGCAATAAATGTAAGCGGGCCACGGCGAGCGGGATTTGGCGTGGCGAGGGTTGCCGCCTTTATTGGCACGGGGATTAGGCCTGTTCCGCGCTGCAATTGGAACAATTGACAATGCGCTCCACCATGTTGACACCGGCATGTTGTGGTAGGCGAGGATTTGCAAGCGACCCGCGAGGGAGCTTTAATTCGGCTGCTTGAGCTGAATGCTTGTTGGGCCAAAGCTTGGTTTGGTTCTATATGATAAACATTCCCAGAATCAAAGCACATCGCATGAGAACAATATCGCGTGTGTCTTATGTAAATTTAAACGTTCTTAAGCATAAATTAAATAAACAAAGAATAAGTAATAAACGCGCCACTTTAAATGGTAAATTATTCACATTAAATAATGTTAGGTATGTAACTGTCAAAATACTTTAAATCGCACATTTAGATAAGAATATTTAAATAGCACGGTTTCTGTTCACCGCTTCACTACTATATATTAAAGAAAAACATGTTAAAAATAAATTTACGAAAAAAATGCATGATGTAATGGGTGGTATGTAAGAGGTTTTATAATATAAAAAATATTTATCCACTCGTTTACAATTAGTGTATAACCGAACAAAGAAACTGATGAGGGGTAAATTTATAGGGGTGCTTTCGAGTCAGACGATTCAACTCTTCTAGTTCAGTATAACATACTTAATGCCAACTGAGAGTCCCTGATATCTTGAATGGCGATCAAAATGTTACGATTGTATGGTGGAAACTAATCCGCAATTGATTTCATCGGTACATACATCAAACGAGCGCCGACGGTGCAGTACAAACTTTGTTTAATGAAACGTAAACGTCCGCCCATTGACTGTCAGCAATAACTTATTTGGACAATTCGCGACACTCCGCGTAAATGACGCGTGAAATATAAGACGCGTGGGGGCGGGGGCGGACGTTAGGCGGTGATCATGTTCGCCCCCGCTACGAAAGCTGTGGCCTTTTATCTCGATAAAGGCTGGATTCGACTTGCCAGTTCTCCTAATAATCCGTAACTAGCCATCGCCCCCGTCTTTGCTCGTCAAAATTACTATCCAGATCTATCCCAGAACAATTGTACGCTTTTCGCGATAAAACATATCGCATTTTACATTCGGGTATGTAAATTACCTCTATGCAAAAATCACACGTCTTAAGTGTGACGTGGAGACGATTGGAAAGTAAATAGCCATCATTATATTTTATTCAATTAATTTCAACTGAATGAATTTCCCTAAAATGTATTAACGTCGGTTCATCGATTGCGGCATTCTGTTACAAAGTGTTTTAACCTTCGTGAATTCAACGGTGCTATTGTGTACCGGCTTTATTTACACGAAGCCCTTTCTTTGGCCCGTGGCAAATTAGCCGAGGCCCGCAGCAAGTGATTTACGAGCAGAGCAGATAGCGGCCCCTCACGATACGTTACGGAAAATTGCCCCATATCACCATCTTGGGGCGCCAATATTTTACCGCACGAAACATTAAGGACGCCGTTATGTATGAAATAATTTCACTACCAACACCTTTCTATTAGCTGTTAAATGAATAAAAAAATAAAAATAGCCTTTACTACAGATTTAAACGAACCAAACTGCGGCTCTAACACTAGTAATATTATTATGGAAAGCTAAGTAATAACATTAAAACGTGACTCGCTTATGTCCCTTACTCCGTGAGAACTCTGCTTGAACTTTGTCTACTTAAAATTGTAAGGCGGTAAGACACCGGTGATAAATTACTCGAAAACAAACATATAATTATTACTTTTCGGTTTGAAACGAAAGTCACACCAATGTAATTAACATATATAATGATCGATAGCTGAAAATTCAAGAGGATTTATTATTATTTTTATTAATTCGCCAAAGCAGTGCCAATATGGTGAGAAAAAAGAAATCCCATGAAATGGCCACCACACAACTCTAACATTCTCCCTCGTGGATTACTTACAAAAGTTGAATATAGAATGGCAATTACGCTTGTTCCTCACTTCCGAAGATTATTCTACTCCACGCCTGTGTTTTGTGCGGCCGCGACACTTCGACAGCTAAGCTTATTTATACAACAGCAGCCGTTATGTAATCTGTGTTTTTGTGCCACAGAAAATCATCTGTCTTTTAGTGTGAATCGAAACGGGAGATTCTTTACGAGCCGTAATAGTTCGGTGTCCGATACTGAGTTCAAATTCCGTACCAAAGAAATTGGTAATTTTAAGTACTGAATTATCACTTGTAGCTCGGCGGTGTAGGAAAACATAGTGAGGAAATCTACATATTTAAATAATAACAAAGAACTGGGGTCGCGTGCTTGACTACGACCTAATGCCCTCCAAACAGAGTAGGCGTTTGTCCAGCAGTGGGACATAGTGTATAGGCTTACTGTACTTTACTTATTTATTTTATATCTTAAATTCATTTTGTGTCATGTAAAATTTGCCATCTACAATACAAACTTCAATAAAGTTGTTGAGTAGCAGTAGATTTTCATTTATCGATTACGCTTTCAGAGAAGTTGTATATCCTTGCATTTCGAATTTTACTTTATATATCCCTTCCAAACGTCCTATGTGAGCTCTTCTATATCACCTTAAGTAAGATATAAAGATATAGTGGTCGGAATTGGATATAACTCAAAGGGAACATACACTAACGTGCGGCGCGAGAGTGCTTCGTGTTTTATTAAGCCATTTTGCTCGCTTCCATCCTCTTTGTACTTATCTCTTTGTTCTTTTATATTCGCCGCATCGTCACAACGACCGCTCCGAATCTCCCGGGATCAGCGAAAGGGAAACAATGTTCATTTATCATCGCGTTATACGTTTTTCTTTATTCAACTAAACTTAAAATTTTAAATTAAACTATATTCACGGATTTATCGCGAATTTAAAAAATTAAATCAGTAAATACAAAAAAAAGTTTAATAACGTGTTATCACGTAAATACAAGAAATTGTTATCATTTTAATTCATGTTTAGATTTTAAAGTGAGGAATTTTAAATGAGGACACTCATTTAAACACATTCATGTAAATAGTAAATTTGATGATAACTTATTATATATTATATATTTTCTCGAGACGTCTTTAAGTCAATATCGACGAGAATACCTTAAACATTAAGTAAATTTCCCCATTTCTATGGGGTTTAATAGTGATAACCGTGGTTTAATAGTTCATGACCATCATTTTACTTAGAACCCAAAGCAATATCGTCATAATATAATAATATTAGTGTATGTAAAAACGCCTATAAATTCAAATTACTTCATTAATAATTCTTCTATCTAGCCTGATATATCTCATGGCGGCTTAAAATAGAAGAGCACTGTTAACAAACACGCGGGTATCGATTTCGACCCTCGCCTCTTAGTAATCCCGGTTTCCAGCAAGCAAACGCAACTGGAACATTCCCGCGACGTCCGGTAATCCCAGTGACGTATGTCGCGTGTCCCGGATATGAACCCCGAGTCAGAACGCTTTTACTTGCGTTGTGCACGCTAACCAACAATCGCACGGTTACAGAAAATTTTAATTATGCGTCGCTTTATGATAAATAATTTAATATGTTGTTCGTCACAAAATAATAGATTGGCGAAAATGTTATTAGCTGTTAATTAAATGTTAGTTAATACTTTCGTATAATACGTTCATAGTTTGTATACATAATTTAGAATAAAATATAAGCAATTAAACATGTAACTTGAAGCGGCGAAAAATTTTTCGACGATTTACCATGGCATTAAAATTAAATTAGCAAGAAGCTAAGCTGTTTTGCGCCAGTTAACTAACGACTTGCCGAATCAGAAAACTCCTTTCGAATTGTATTAAAATATAAATAAGTCCTTATAAGATGAACCCCATACATTGAGGGCTAAGACTTCATAAAGTTGAAAAAACATGGAAAAAACAGCTTCTGTTCTTCTTTGAACTTTATAATCAGACAATTTAGTGAACCATGGGACTGTTTGACAATCATAAGCTTAAATTCTTCGCAACTTACAGTTAGGAAAATATTTTCATTCAATTACTGATACTGTATTTATAAACACAGTTAACATAACATAACTTAAGTTTGACAAGTTAAAACTCCTAACAAAATAATAGTATTAAACATTAAAAAGGTGTTACAATTATATAGATAAAAACTATATAACCCTACTGGTTCTCAAGCAAACTTAGCCTTTAACCTTTGAGCGAGAAAAGAACCATATAAATATTGATGTGTCATACGAACCTAAGACTTCAACAGAAAATAGCTCAAAAACGAAATCTGAACATAGAAACTCATATTTCCACCATGTACTGATTTCATCTACCTCTGACGCCACCATAAATAAAAAGGAACCAAAACAACATATGACACCGTTTCCAGCACGTAAGCAATCATCCATATCCCGTTTCACCCAGAGCCACGGGCATACCTGATCGTAATAACGCCTGACTACACACAGGCGAAAAGACCGGCCGGCCCTCCCTGTAGCGATCCGTATAGCGATCAAAGTGGCACAGAACACCATCCAGCGTCAGCGTCCCTGAGACGGCTTCATCCGCTCCCCTCGCGCAATTAGGAGCGAGTCGTGTTTTCCCGTGCGCGCCAATTTAATGGCATTGTGTTGCCTGCAGATTAGCGCTGTGTTGCCAGTGGGAAATAATGTGATTCGTTTTCGGTAAATTGTCTCGCCGGTGCCTAAGAATTCGGAGCGCCCCCGCTGCAGTTTGCGGAGAGCTCTCGAATCTCACGCAAATTCGATTTCTCACACTCGCCCGTTTCAAGTCGCTTTTGGTATATTTATCGATATCTAATACCTCTTGTCCCTTTAGTTTCGTCCCGGAGCGTGGGAGAATTCATTAACAAAAGACATAAACATTAAACAATACGAAATTTTAATTTTTATAATGCTAATCTCTGCACTAAAGATAAAACATTAAAATTTGTAGAAAAAAAGGAACGAAAAGTGCTACTAAAAACAATGTAGACGAAGTACGTTGAGAATTTCGTCAGTGTGGCGATCAGCCGTTTAAAGGTGTCTGAAGTTTATGCGGCTTTTTAATTTTCGTCAACTTCATAGATAGAGGTCTTTTTGCCTCCGCATTAGTTAACCTGTTGAAAGTACATTATAATAAAAAGATAGAGGAAGACATATAAATAATAGTCTTACACAATCTTAATAAAAAACTACTTCGAAAGACCGCGTGAAAAATACATTAACTTTTCTTTCTAAAACTAGTTTGGGTTAATACATATAGTGATGTAGATGTATATAGTGTGTATATAAGACGTCCAGAGGGTGCTTTTGAAATGTTAAGCTGACCTTTCCGCGATGTATTCAAATGTATGTACGAAAGTGTAACGGTTTGTGCAAATGAATTCAAGTAGTTTGTTCAGTGTTCCTTTTCGTTGACCATCTGACAGCTGTTTCTAATAGTAAATTTCTAAAGTAAAATTTATATAACTGTGCGCACTTTACTTCTATGGATCTAGTTCAAGATTAACCCCTTAGGCAACTTCAGTTTTAGAGTGCTTAAAGGTGTTATCCTATAACCACCAAATGTAATTACTAAACGACATGAAGAACAAAAAATTACGAAAATAAATTTATTACTAATATATTTATACTATTGCATTACTTGAATTTTTTAACTAAGTTCAGAAGCACGTCCTTAGAATAACGCGTTTTTAGAAAACCTTGACATTTCCTTCACGCGTTTTGTTGTTAGGGTTCCGTACCCAAAGGGTAAAAAGGGCTATATCTCGTGAACCGAACTTAGGCAGTTGAAATTTGCTCAGATGATGTATTTTTGTTGCCGCTATAACAACAAATACACTGAAAAAAGACTAAAAAAGTATTTATATGGCCCATACAACAGACATGATTTTTTTTGCCGTTTTCATAGATAATTGTACGAAACCATTCGTGCGCGAGTCCGTCTCGCACTTGGCCGGTTTTTATAAAGCACGTGCCTACTTTTATAAATCGAGGACGCTCTGCCGACACTTGCATAACATCACGCTAACCTAAAAAATCACCAAACGAGATTACAGCTGGCTGTGCCAACTCCCCTAGTGCCCAATTCCGCGTCCCCCCCCCCCCTCCCTCGCCCCTCAGCTACAGGCCCCGAGGGACACTGGCGATATAATCCACTTTCGCCCATTCACCCCGCCCGAATGGAAAGCGGCCAAAACCAATTTATATTTTCATCCCGCCTTGTCGTATTTAGACCTTTACATAGACGAAAATAAGGATTACGAGCCATTGTGCCGTTCGCACGAGCAGTTGGTGCAGGACGCCCGAGGCGCTGAGTACCGCGAGGGCGTAAATCCCGTGTTTTCTTTTTCGTTTCGTACGCGAATTAAGACGCAAATGTCGGGTGATTTTGTCGGATGTTCCAGACGTTGTTTTATGTAACTTTTTTGACAGTTTTTGTACAGCAATGACATTCCTTTTTCCTTTTCACGGATCACAAATGAACCTTAATGAACTCCGACTATGCTTTGGCAGATACAATTCATTTACTTGACATAGATTATTCGTTGATTCGACAAAATAAGAAGATTTCGTAGCGTTGTCGAATAGTAAAATCAATTACAATTAGGATATTTTGGAGACCAGAGTGAATAGGCTTTTGCTGAGCTACTTACGGTGAAAAGTGATGGTTTGATCTAGCGTTTGATCAATCTAGTACCGCAAGCTGTTTCTATATTTGGCGGTAAATGCACGGGCTTAATAAAAGCTTTCAATGTTCAGAGATGATCAGACTTTTTCACTGGTTCATCCAAGTTTTTTTGTCCTGTGTTGTAAGGACGTTTTTACAAACATAAATTTCACGCGGACAAACACCCAGATGCGGAACAACTATCTGTGGGTCTCACAAATAGTTGTCCCGTGTGGGAATCGAACCCACGACCCCCGACTCCAAAGCCGATACTTTGGCGACTGCGCCACGAAGTTATCAACGTTGGGCATTTAAATTTGCACTATTTATGTACAGGATGTTATTTTATATGTTTGAAGTCTGACTCCGGATTCCGATATCGATTACCCCTGAAAATATCTACGAAACTTCCATTACAACTCTTACAGTTCCATAAAGTACTTTAGAAACCTAAAAAGATTTCTAATAATTTCTGTCACGGCATATAAACCCGACTTAAAGCTATTTCAGTCGCTATCGGCGTAAAAATCGACCGTTTTATTTGTAGTGGATCGCATCCGCTTGTATCAAAGCGTTTGCAGACAAAGAGGTCGCGGAGGAGCGGCGAGGCGCGCGAGGTCAAGCGCCCTTCGCCGTGCCCTATCGCCGCTGCCGCCCCTCAGCACTCGGCAGATGCACGCCACTCAGCGCTAGTTGGCACAAACCCGGAGCAGCCAGACAAGAGCTTAAAGATGTATTAAAAATATCTTACACAATTTTTCATTATGAAAACGAGAGACGAACAATAACTTCTGCTCATTTAAAATATGTAGAAAAAGTACGAAAAAACAATGGATATAATAGACATTAAGATTTTCGTCGGTGTGGCAATCAGCCGTTTTGCTTAGTGGTTGAAACGTTAGGCCGCGAATGCCGAAGACGTAGGTTCGATTCCCACAACTTTTTCGTACTTTTTCTACATATTTTAATGTTCAATCTTAAGTGCAAAGATTAGCACTATAAATAATTTAAATTTCTGCTCATTTGTCTTTTCTAAAAATCTCGCGAAATAATCCTCCCAACTAAAGGACATGACTGTTAGAAGGAGCCAAAGGAGCCGAAAAAGCACACTTGGATCGCAATTTCCTACACTATATAAATATATAGAAAGACACGATTACTCTACCTCTTCTCTTAATTAGAGTATAAAGTGATCTGTAACAGTAACAATGATTGCTCGATTATGACCAGCTTGGCCAGAGGTCATCATTGCGTTAGCGTGAAATGCTCTATCTATGAAGGATGTCGCAGCTTATCTTCGGGACGAGGATGTGTATAATTATATACAAATCTGTTTGCTTGTATTTTCATAAATTCTTTTTCAACACAAATTTTTCTTATTCAATTTACAATTGGGCTATAGTTCTCGTTACATATGTAAATCAGTAGGAAACTAATGTAAAGCGTAGCGTGTTAATATTTATTAGTCCACACCGCGCCGGTTTCACGAAAATCGTTACCCGTGGAGACGCATCGCGTGCAAGCTCTGCAAAGTGGCAGGCAGTGGGGGGTCGGCTTTGTCCCCCACCCCTCCGCTTCTGCCGCTGATGCCCTTTAAAGACCCTTCAAACGCCTTTCTCTACAAAGGTAACGTTTGTTTTATTGCGCGGTATGCGAAGGGGATTAACTGTTCCCCGCAGCGCACGATTCGTTATCAAAACCTAACCTACACGAAAACGGAAACACTATATTAATTGATCGGTGGCGTAGTGACAAAAAATTACTAATCTAAAGTCTAATAGCCAATCGCTTTAATTTTTATTAAAGAACTGATGAAGCATGCCAGGCACGAAGGCTGCTCACGGTCCGAATTAGATTTAACATAATCAGGCGTCTAAAAGCTGGCAAAAAAGTCCACAAAATAATTTTGCATTCAAACCCACGTCTGTGAACTGAGACCAGGTCAGCTGACATTCCCGGTCCCCCCCCCCCCTCCCCCCTCCCGCGGGGCACCGGCGCTCCCTCCGCCAAATTAACTCGCCCTCGCTCACCTGCCCTTTGAGGAAAACTGAATTTTGTTAAAAAGAAAACAAACATAGAGAGAGCAGATAGAAGAGTTATAAAATTTTTCAAAACAAAGAATTTTGGAACACCCTTACCTTATAAAAGCTTAACGTAAAGTTCATTTGTAAAGGTCACAAAGCATATGATTGGGTTGAATGAATTTAAAAGGGAAAAAACATGCTGTTAGAAAGAGGGGCTTGTAATACGACGCTGTGGCGCTAGTTGTATAGGATGTTACAAATTTTGTTTCTTTTTTAATCAATTAGTTTGTTTGAAACATATTTTTTTTTAATTATCGATTTTGTTTAACGTTAATATTTTTTTATGATTATTGGCAAGTAGCGTTAGACGTGTGTTCATTTATTGTCGCGATGGTAACGACACGCTGTATATATAAAGTTAAGCCACACGAGGTAGCACATTTACCAAGGGCCGGCGACCTCGGCGCTCGCAAAGCCATCAGCCGTGCGGCCCAAGCGACATTTCCTCTGCAGTGGCGACCTCGCAATTCGCTTCCGCCGTAACCGAAGCTTGCGACGCGTTTGGATTGTTTCCAATTTATTTAACACTACTTCATAATTTCGTTGTGCACAGTTGTATACGAAATGGTATATTTACCTCATACGGAGTAATACTAATTGCACTGTGGTAGGACCACGCAACAATGTTTGCTGTTGCACGTCAGGTGAAAGCGAACAGCTCGACTACTTTTCTAAATAGAAAAATTAACATTTGGCGCATTCTGGAACAATCAGAATATTCATGACGTCAATAAGTAACGAGTAGGGGAATGATCCAAACTTTTGTTCAGTTTATTTTTTTATCAGAACGCATTTAAATATCCTAAGATACAGTCTTCATTGTTGCCACCTAAAATTGACTATTGTTAGTTTAAAATAAATATTATTCTAAAATGCTTGTAGACATAGAAAAAAACATTTCCTGGGACTTACATGGTGCTAAAAAGGTCGTGCACGTGCTATAGTAATTACGTAAGAATGATTAGAAAACTCATACATTTGAAATACCCAAATTAAGTTTGAAGTAACCCTTGACATGCCGTCAATTTATTTAATAGTTAGAGCTGCCGATCAACGGCACGGCCTTGGGCCGAAGAATTACATTAATTCAAGATTCAAAAATAGTAGCAGGCGAAGGCAACACGCGAAGCAGCCATCAATCATTTCAATTCGTACTCGGATACAGGTCTATGGTCGGAATTTGTTATCGAGGACTTTATCGATCCCATTCCAATGCGTGATTCGGTGGTCAGTCCTAAAGACAAAATGTCGAGCCAATTTTTATTGATAACGACCCGATTGGCGCAGTGGATACGTTAAGGCTTCAAATGATTGGTTTCTTCAATATTTCCTTTTGAAGCTTCTGTACCACATTATAGATAATATAATATTTTTCAGCCCCAATACGTCACTTTATATGTTTATAAGGATCCTTTATTTGAATCCATAATCATATGAATCGGAATAAACAAAGATTATATTTACAAAGAACGTGAACCACAAATTACGTTTTAAAACTAAGGTAAACTATTTTTCCGTTGTAACGTGTGTTTCATCAACCTACATACCCATAACATCTATTTAAACACACGATTCAACGGAGCCTTTAGGAAAAGATAAAGATTAAAAAACAATAAAATTGAACAATTAAAAGTATCAAGTATGTGTAATATAAGAAATATAAGAAACTTTGTGCAGATAAACTGAGTGCAAGCTTATCTCAAATCCCCCAAATAGCAAAACGTTAAAGACTTGTTTGACCGAAATCCAATTTGTCTCATCTGACTGACGCAGTCTGAATCTATTATCAAGACAGCGCAATGGGGCGCCTCCTTGCTCCGATCCTCTTTGATATCGGAACGAATTGGCTCGTCATTCAATCAAGTTTGCGTTACTTGGATTCAAACGTGCATAGGAACTTCACCATAACTCAATTCAAGCCGGTATCTGACTGAAACCAATTCTGAATATCGCATTATGGTTGATTTTGGTTTTTTATCAAGAAACCTATCCTTACAATCTGTAGTGAGTATAGAGCTGAAAATTCTTAACCGATTTAATTCAATTCGCTCATTATAAGATTCTGATCCCATTCGTGCAACTGCCGAAGCTGTTGTGTAGACCACAGTTAAATAGCATACCATATATACAGGGTGGCTTTTCTAAGGGTATCCATTTTTTTATTAAATTCTAGACATAAATAATGTTATATAAAAAATGATAAATATTTAAAATCATTCGTAAGTAATTAATTACATTAATTTGAACTTATCTCAAAAAGTGCGTGATTTATACGGAACTCATTTATTTTACGCGCGATCATTCATAACTAACACGCACACAAGTTCGTGCACAGTAAAATTTAGGTATTTATGAATGACTACCGCATTGTCAACACGTTCTGTTTTTAGGGAATAGAATGGCATTTTTTTGTAAAAAAAACTTTGTTTTTTATTTCAATAAATAATTATACTACCGAGTTTGAAACTCCTGTGTAAATTTGGGCACTTCTCAAAAAATCTCCCTGTATAATAAATTATTCTTATTATTATTATATTGTGATTACCATATATATTGGCGCTGATCAATACGATTTAGTAACATCGTTTTCTTGTACTTAAAAAAAAAACAAATTTACGATTCTCCTTCGGTGGTGTCCAGTTTGAAAAAAATTCCCAATGACTTACATACAAAATATCTATAAAAATAATTCTAAATTTAACTCATAATGAATCGAACTGGACTCCAACCACCTTGCCAATTCGTTGTCGCACTACCTACCTTCCTTGCTTCCGTGCATTGCGTAAATAATGTGTGTTATAAATCAAAACTTGTACCTTGAACATACTGAGGGTGTAAAATTTTAACAGGAATTTTTCCAGCAAACTATAGTGATTTAGGGCAAGCCCGTTTTCTAGGCGTCTCATTTAAAGACACATTGCTGCAGGAATCCATCGTGAACCATCGATTTATTAACAACACTAATCCTCCTGTGTTAACAATGTAGATAAATTTTTATCTCCATGGATTTCATGTCAAAAAGTACAGGCCGTTTTCCTCGTACTTTTAATGACATCATCCGTAGGGCCCTTGTTTCCATCCCCGTTCCCTTAATTTCAGAGCTCTGTGGCATTTTCTTTCACAATTTAAGAGACCCGACGCCTTAACTTTGATCCCTTTGAAGGAAGGCAAAGCTTAGTTTGGGTCGCTACTTGTGGACGGCTGGAAAACGGCTGGTCCTTTTCTCTAACTATTCAGCGAGGAAGCGCAGCTACCATTTTTTGGCACAATGCCGCATTTTTAGGTTTGCTTGATAACGTTGACATTAAAAGTGGTGTGAACGACTGAGCACAATCTAAATTAAAACATGTAAACCAGGCAATGCGTCGTCCCATCCTTTACAAATATTTATTTGATACTTTAGTTATATCAGGACGCGCTTTTAACCGACCTCCTGACAGATTGTTTTCTTTTTCTATTACGTTAAATTATTCGGCGCCGTGTTCAAAAGGACTCTGAATCGTCTTTGAAAATTTAAACTCATCACGTAAATGATCCATCAAGCGGGACGGAGGAACCATGCAACTAACAGAAACAAAGATCGAATCAAATTCCTTTTGAAACTACGAACGCCGTTTTCCTGGCGAATTCCCTAACGTATCATGTAGGAGGAAATGATAATAAAGTGATCATTTCTGTTTGTTGTCAGGTTCCGAAGTCCTATTCGAGGGTCGCGGCGTGGGGTGCCAGTCAAATGCTCACTAAGCAACGCGTTAATCTTTTACGCCACCAGAAGATATTGTGTGCGAGTAAGCAGTACCCACTAACATGGTCACGGGCTTTCCTGGGAAATAATCAACTTTGAAGAGGATTATCAAAAATCCGTAAACATGGCGGAGGGACCACAGACGATATGGCAGAAGATCGACAACTCCACCATTCCCATGATAAACCTCGAAGTGCGAGAGGTACGCGAGATACTATGGGAGAAAATAAAGGAGCCAACATCCCAGAGAAAAATTATATTAGTGATTGTGTCCATTGCCCTGTTGCTGGACAATATGCTGTACATGGTCATAGTGCCGATCATACCGGATTATTTGCGATATATTGGTGCGTGGGGAGAAGCAGGTATGGACCACGTGGTCACCTTGCCGCCGATAAAAGAAGGTAATACAACTGTAATACCAACAATGATCATACCAGCGTCTCACGAAGGCCAGGACTCGGCAACTGGCGTCTTGTTTGCGTCTAAAGCAATAGTACAGCTTATGGTTAACCCATTCTCTGGTGCCTTAATTGACCGTATAGGCTATGACGTACCTATGATGATCGGACTCATTATTATGTTTCTGTCCACCTCAATTTTCGCTTGTGGCCGAAGTTACAGTATGCTCTTTTTCGCGAGAAGTCTTCAGGGTGTTGGCTCTGCATTTGCAGATACATCAGGCTTGGCCATGATTGCCGATAGATTCACTGAAGAGAACGAGAGGTCAAAAGCTCTTGGAATTGCCCTGGCCTTCATCAGTTTTGGATGCCTCGTTGCACCTCCATTTGGCGGTGCTCTTTACCAGTTTGCAGGAAAGGAAGTTCCATTTTTAATCCTTGCGCTTATTTCCTTAATAGACGGATTTATGTTACTTTTGGTAATGAAGCCGTTGAAAACACAAATGAAGGAGGCAAATGAACCTAAACCGAATGGCACACCCATTTGGAAACTTTTAATGGACCCTTATATCGCAGTTTGTGCAGGAGCTTTGATGATGTCAAATGTTGCCCTCGCATTTTTAGAGCCGACGATTTCTCTCTGGATGGAAGACAACCTGACAAAGGAAAACTGGAAAATCGGTATGATATGGCTGCCCGCATTCTTTCCACACGTTCTTGGAGTCATCATAACTGTAAAGATGGCAAGAAAGTATCCTCAACAACAATGGCTTATGGCTGCCGGTGGTCTTGCCCTAGAAGGTCTATGTTGTTTCATTATACCTTTTGCAAACTCTTACAAGATGTTGATGATACCTATTTGTGGCATTTGCTTCGGCATAGCATTGATTGACACTGCCCTGCTGCCCACTCTTGGCTACCTGGTCGACGTGCGATATGTGTCTGTATATGGCAGCATTTACGCCATCGCTGATATATCTTATTCCTTCGCCTACGCCGTTGGCCCGATCATAGCCGGGGAGGTTGTTGAGATGATAGGTTTCACGGCGTTAAATCTTTTTATCGCGTTCAGCAACTTGCTGTATGCACCAGTACTCATGTACCTCCGTCATATTTACGACTTTAAGCCGTTCGAAAACGAGGCGAATATCCTCATGTCTGACCCGCCGGACAAAGAATACCAAACCTACAGTATGCAAGACCAAAAACCTGTGAATGGCGATTTCAAAAACCATTTGGAGTACTCTAACGTATCCGGTCAGGTGGACACAGTGCAGGAGTCGAACGTCGATGTGAGCGCTGGCGCTGATCAATACCAAGGTAGCTACCAGAACTACAGCCAAGGGTACGAGCAGCAGCAAGCCTTCCAACAGCCGGAGACTCATACTCCGGCCAGACAGCTTCCAGCTCAGCCGCAGCCGGCAGCGAGCAACCCCTTCCGCGCTTCGGTAGCACCGGCGCCGGCCTCGACCCCCGCACCGAAAGCCCCCGCCCCAGGCCCCGTGAGGAACCCATTCCGGCAAGGCTTCTAGAGCGTTCCGATTCGATGTTGTTGTCTATTTTCTGTTCGATAAACTTGTTGTGTAATTATTAAATGTGTCATAGTTGATATTTAATAAATATTTCGATCACTGAGTCGCGAACATCTGCGGCCTAATGTTTAGTCTACTCACTAGATGTCTATTTGATAGCCGTGCTTTTCTCGAATTATATAGTGGACGGCGTTTGCTTACAAAACGACGTTTAGAGCCAAAGAACGTAATGTAATCTATCGATCATGTTTTCATGGAGAGGTCAAAGTAAAGTTCTGAAACCTTTGCGAGTTATAAAGTGAGTGAAACGAAATGCAAAATGCGTGGTTTTGTGAGCAACGACACTTTTCTTGTTGATATTGTATTGTTCCAAACTATATTATACTGTTAATTATGCCTTCTCATACTGAAAACATTCATCACTTTAATAAAAGAAATATGATTCTGAGAAGGAAAAAATGTAAACACATGTTTTATGATAAGTCAAATGTATTCCAACATAGCTTAATAATGTATTAAAAGTATCGTCTATCATATTCATGTCTAAGACAACGTAGTTGTAAGAACGAGATATGGTAAAAAAAACCCGTATTCATATCACAGAATTCTGATGGTTTTAAATGATGATGCTTGCACTTATTAGCAAGGCCTAAATTTTACGTGAACAGAAAAAATATTTGTTTTGAATCTCCGCGTTAGCGGTTAAACATTAGGAATTAATGTAAAGTACTCGTATACTTTTCTATGCCATGTATTTTATTTATTTTGTAAACAGATATGGTAAAATTTGACGTTCCAAAAACTTAAGATTAGAAGAAAAAATTTAAGACATCGGCAAATGTCGTCTGAACTTAACCTAATTCGTACAAGTACGTCAATATTTTAGATATTTTCATAAGTGTAGTAGGCGTTTAAATTGGATATTCACTTGCCTGCTATATCAGCAATATTAGACTAAGCCATGTATTCCTCTATATCAATTCATACTTGACATATTCAATTAATATATCAATTAGTACTGTAAGTTAGGTAACCAACTTGTGATAAAGTTGCAACCAAGGTAACGAAACATATCAGAATCTTTTGATTCACGTAGCATAAGGAGAATATAATTATCATAGTGTTAATGTATTTTGCCTAAGTGTACAGTTGGTAGTTTTATATATATCCTGTTTCAAACGTTTACGCCGATCTTGGTGTACTTATATAATTGCATTCATTTATTTAGGAGTTATATCGTATGACGAACGATACGCGGGTCGTTGTGAAGGCTTAACGTCATTGCTAGTGATCAAACACTTTTTCCATCATATTTCAATTCATAGAGAAATTAATACATTAACCCAGTTGGTCAATAATACAGTGATACAGTGATCTTTTGAAAATGCTCGCGAAGGAATGGAAACGATAGATGACGCTACAATTATTTTTTTTATTAAATAGAAAGACTATTGATTAATATATTATAAATATAAAAAAGACAACATATCGATTAGTTTATTAATAATATATAATGTGACAAAATGTTACATAAAGATGTGAACTTTTGTAGCAATGTTCTCAACATTGAAATCATATTTAAGAAATGTGTAATGCAAGCGTTAAGCTTTCACGATGCCTTCAGAATGGCAGATAAATTGATTATAAAGAAAATACAAAACTTATTCATATCTAAAGTTAATTGTACAAGAAAATGTGACGCGCCCGACATGTCAATTGAATGAGTGTATAAAGTTAAAAGTGATTATTGTGTATGAAGTTATTTGAAATTATATATATTAATTAACGAGAATGCTACTTTTCGGCCATACGTTCGCGTAGTTTTCTTTCATTTGTTTAGGTTCATTTGTTTCCTAAGATAAAGAAATAATAAGCGGTAGCCTGCTAGAGTACAATAGCATCGTAGAACAAACAATGTCGAGCACAGAATATATTTGTTTCGCACGAATATGTAATATATACAGATTATGAATATTTCATTAAAACAATTAAACCATGCATTTATTTCGATATTGTCGCCTATTTTCGAGTCGTAATTTATGAATTACATAATTATGTTAGGTTAGGCACAGGTGAGGTCACTGTACAGTGGGCGGTCTAGCTGTTCCCCGTCGGCGGCCTTCGTTGTTTAAGTGTAAGTTTAGAGTCAATTTTCGTGTCAAATTCTCCCGAAATTCAATTAATTAGTAGAGTGTACTAACTATGAGGCGATGCTTTTAATGTGGTTGACGTTATATCGTGAATTTTGTCCGAATTTGTGTTACAATGCGGTGTTATTTTTAACTTAAACAGATTAAAGTTATGTATTAAATCAGTAAAAACGTGTTTATTTAATAGGTATGTCATATAAAAGATATGAAATTATTTTGTTTCTTATGTTGATTCGATCGATAATTTGTTTTAATTTTCCTTTCCGAAATTCCAACTGATGCACAAAAATACACGATATGACGTTGCAGAAATATTTCTTGTCAATTTCCTTATAATGTACTGTGTAGTTAAGTCGTGAGCAATAATCGAGCCAATATCGCAAACATATCACTAGATCTAAGGTTATATACAATTTTGCCCTAGTTTTGTATCTATCGCCACTTTGGATATATACATGGTTAGATATAAGAATTTTCGATGAAATATTATATTTTTTATTTATTCCGTATTATTTATGGAAAATGATGCATAAAGAGGTTTAAGGTTACGTCCGGTAAAATTAGTTTCCTAAAGTCCACAAAATATTTATATTTTACGTTTACTTTTTCAGTTTTAAAAGCTATAATAAATATTTTATGATCCTCATAAAACAAAACATTTCAATGAAATACAAAATCTATTGGTAAAATATATACATCTCTAACTGCATTTCAAAATTTCTATTTTATTATGTCTTTCATACGCACAAAAGTATGTTGTGTTTTTGTTTAAATTTTAATTATAATTAACTGAAATCTTATAATATAAGCATGCCTTTAAATCTTTAATACGTCTTCTAAGCTTGTAGATAATCTTGAACTTCATATCTTCTACTGTTTTCATTATCGCCTGTTTACGAACGTTTGGCATTACATTATACTTAATGGGACATCTACAATCCTGTCAATGGCCTACGACCTCGTTCTACGTTTAGTAGAATTCATAAAGTGGCAAAATTTCTCTAAAGAAAGAAAAATGATAATGGATACAGTAATTCCTAACTTATGAGTAACTTATTCTCTATTGTTAAGCTAACTTATATTAACTTGATCTGTTTCATATTTCCGTGGCAATCTAACTGCAAACGGTTCACCCCCACTGTAATTAACCTATTATCTAAAATATTTTATTTAATTTTTTTTCTCTATGACAACTAGGCTTCGAATAACTGCGTCACTTAGACACTAATGTAAGTATATGTCCGTTCATCGCTTACTAACATTTTTCGTCCCCATTTTCTTTTCTTTTGATTGAATTGTATATCTAATATTACTTAAGTTAAAGTTATATTTATTTACTCGATACCAAATTTCATAATGTCTATTATATTTGAAAATCTGACTTTAAAGCCATTTTGATCACAACGTTTGCAGTTAGTTTCTTGTCTAGATCAGTACCCGTCCGTTAGACCTACACCTAATTAATCTATCGTACTTCCACAGGCAGAAATACATACGTAGAACATGCATGAGGCTACACTCCCGTGGAGTACGTATTTCTGTTTGCGACTGTACTACTTAGCTCTTACTATTTCTAACTTCGGCTTATATTTCGACTTGTATCATATAAATTGTTATTAGCTTAAAAAAGATCATTTAGATAAGGTCAAAATTAACCAGATACATTATTTTGTTGATATATCATCGTATTAAAAAAAATTGATTAAAAGCAAAACAATAAATCAAGCAACGATTTATATTATTTTATAGCTTATCACATCCTTTTTATTGTTTTGTTTTTATTGTCCTATTTCATTTATTATCAACTTTGTTAATGTTACTATTTTGGTAATATTTATTCATCTCAAAACTATTGATAGTAACTGTAGTACTATAAACTGTAGATTATAAAGAAAAATTAAAAATATCACGAATCATTATAGATAAAAATATTAGGGTTTTAGCATGCTAATGTATCATTTCCATATCTTAATATAAATTAATCATTGTATTGTAAGATCATTCTACTATTAAGTAAGTAAATATATAAATATATCCCTAGATTATATTAAGTCCTGTGCTTATATAACCGATTTGTATTATATAATGACAAACGCCCACACAGATCGAGTGATAGGTAAGAATTAATGGCAAAGCATTCTTAATTAAGCTCATGTTGCCTTGGTCCTCGCGATACATGCATATTATCACGAAAACACTTTCAAAACTGTAAGTCTATTGCATATTATAATATATCAATATTTACTAGAAAGAAGTGTTACACCGTTGTCACGAACAACCTCATTGTAATTCTATTCATACGTATATATAATCGTAATAATAATAATCATTTATTCGCATAAACATAAATTAATAAATTTCCATGGGTGGCGGTTATAACTTAACATCAGGTGAACTGCCAGCTCGTCTACCATCTTCTTACATAAAAAAAATCTTTTATATATTATAGTCATAATACTTATGTTGTTTCAATCCAACGGAACATGCTAGCTTTTAGTTTTTGAATTTTTTTATAACCTTTTCTCTACTTCTATTAAACTAACAAATATACCTCATTGAAATTTTATCACACATCACTTGTACATATCACAGTTTGAAATAAAAGCAATTAACTATCTTAGTTAACGATGTTTAGCATAGAAGGTTTCTAAATTATAAGTAACTTTAGGTTTAGAGATAATATACATACATGTATATGTAGCGAGTAGCAACGCATTCAAAGTTACGTAGAATAGTTTGCCTCCGTGCAAAAGAAATATTTATTGTAAGATTTGTGTGACAATTTTCAATTTATCCTTATTACTTACTTGATATATAACTGGATCTTCAAGTAATAATATGTAGTTG